AGAACACCGTGAGGGCAGAATAGACGAGGGCATCGTAGCTTAGCTTGCACGGAGCTTTAATTTATAGTTAGCGTACCAGTTGACTTAAAGAAGCTTTTGAACAAGTACTACAGGAGAAGCGTGTGTGTATTAGTTATTCTCATCAAATCTGAAATACTAGCAATTAGATGACGAGCAAAATACAACAATAGGGAAGTTCCTCAACACCAAAACTTTGTCTTGCGTTACAAGAAGTATTCAACGGCTCTGTCTGTCCTGCTTTTGGCTTTTTTTTTGCTTTATTTGAAATTAATATCATAAACATGCGACAACTAGTTGACTACCCTGTCTTTATTTAAAATCTAGTCAGGGCAGGCCCTATATTAAAAGGACTTGTATGTTTCAGGGACACCTTGTCATTTGGAAGAGCACCCCAGAATATTTTATTCATCGCGTGATTAAATGATTATATTGGAATGTTTTTTCATCTAAGTAAACACACGTGGTTTATCAAGAAAGAAATTCCACCCATGTAGTTGTAGATCCATAACATGGTCACCACAAGATTGGCAGTGTTTCACATTTTTTTTTAAAGTCATGCTTGAGGTAACCCACCATCAATTACAGTGTACTCCCATAACACAATAAAGAATACACTGACTTACCGCCTAAATACACCAATGAAAATTAACAAGTGGATGTAAAGTTTATTCAACTTAACTGACTCAAAGTATATATTCAGACAGATAGCATAAAAAGTTTAGAAAACGAGCAAAATGAGCACTATGATTAATAGCAATATCCCATGTACACTCACGAAGCTGAAGAGGCGTGGCTCAACACGGTGTCCCCAATCGGGAAGAAGGTTGTTGGTTCAATCCCCTCCTGCCACGCGTTGAAGTATCCTTGAGCAAGATACTGAACCCCAAATTGCTCCCGATGCAAAGCATCGGTGTGTGAATGTGTATGAATGAGAAAGTTATAAAAGAACAAAATCAAACACTCTAGTAGGATTGCAAGGTGATAAAGAGTTTTAGAGCTAATTATTTGAGTGTATAGTAGATGAGTGTTTGAGGGGGGATAGTTGAAAAGTCATGAAGCTCAAGGACAACTGATCTAGTTATAGAAAGGACTCCACAAACAAATGGCTGTTAACCCATTCAAATCTGAGCAATACTCACTGAACTGTACTGCACTTAACCTCTCATCTTTAAGTGGAATCTCGCTTTGCAGTATGCACAGGTTTGTCCTATCCTGAATCACTCTTCCATGGGCATGCAGTTCTCCATCCATCCCTCCATGTTGGTCTTGGCAATATGTTTCCAGATGTAAACACACATGTTGTCTGGAGGGTGAGAATCAATGAAAATGAGACTCTGGTGAGAACACACTTTGACTGCCAAACACCTGGATAGCAAGCAGCTGGCTTAAGTCCTGTTTTCACTTGGGGGAGCACTGATGATGAGGCCACTGCAGGAATTTTGTAGTTCTGTTTACAAAGGATGATATTGTTCAGCCAGTAGCAGGATCACTCCATCGTCTACTAAAGCTAGTTCCTCAGTGTTACACAATCTGTCTCTCTACACAGTGTTTTAGCTCCTGACCACTGACATCCAGCTGTTGTTACACCACTGTGGTCTTTCCACAGAGGAATTTGTCAGAATGTTTTCAGCATCTCAATAAAAGGGGTCAAGGGCTTGGAGAAGAGGCTATCCAACCCCTGTTTCTGACATCATCATCATCCTCTCCACCCTGTCTTTCACTTGAGGCCAAAAATCAGAAAATTTGTTTTTGTTTGGTCTCCATCATGGCTAAGCAACGCGACACAAAGTCTGTTGCTCTGGTGAAAAGGCCTCAGTGAGAGCAGAAAGCTGCATTTTTTATTAGCTGGACAGACTGAGCAGAGGAGAAAATGAAGAGTGAGGGCAACATCTGGCACAAATCAAACAGAGAAAACGAAGGACAGAGTTGTTTCAATTTTCTGCAATGAAAGTTCGCAAAACAACCCCACTTGAAATGACATTGCAAAATCATTCGCTCTGAGAGTTTTGGGAGAGTGGATTGCAAAACATTACCTCACTTAGGGAAAGTACACCCAGATGAGCAACATGAATGGCTGGCCAGCTGAGAAACTTTACATAACACACTGTGTACCAACACCAGCTGCCACATTCTTAAGAAAACAGTATATGTGAGCTTCCAAGTCCTGCATAGCCAGCTGCTATTTTGTAAGAACCCTTCCTTTTGTATCTCCACCTGACTGATTATGTAAATTACAAAGGTACACACTGTATGGCAATGGAGAGGAAACCTCTGTCTTTAATTATTCAGCTTGGCTAACAGTGGGCCACAAACAGCACAAGGCCTCCCAGCCTTCCAGCACAGGCTTAACTATGAATTATGGATGAACTGGAGAGACCTTAGTGACAGCAGAGTCTGTTTAGGAAGACGGACCACTCAGGTTTGTCCTGTCAAAACTTTATATCTCTACTTTTTTTTTCAGAAACATAATCTGCAATGTCTGAACAAGTTCAAATCCAAATTACTCTGTTGAGTTTTACTGTTGGCTTCACATCTGTTGTAGTTTCATTGCATGCATATGTCACAGCTTAAGGAATTTCTCATAAAGAAAATACTGTGGTTTCCCAACACTATAAGTCACAGCTTTGTAAATTAATGTATAGTACTTTTCTTATTCTCAAAGGAACAAGTTCCATAGCAACATCCTCCCATAACCAGACTAGAATTTGAGTTTGAAAAATGAAAAAACAAGAAGCTTTCTTGCATCACTGTTTTGCTATGCTGCTACACTACATTTGACATGTTAGGATTGTCATAATGATAGACACATTCTGACATCTGTTTCCCTAAACCCAGATGTACAGATACTAACAGTGGAAACATCTCTGGAGCTGTGGTTTATCTTTCTGTTTTTTTTTTTATTCCATAAAGTATAGACTATTATATTGATATTAACATGATCAAATACTTTGAGATATACATGCATACTTTAAACTGAATGTGACAATGTCCAAAGCAGCAAAGGGCCACAGGTTGGAATCAAACCTGGGCTGTTGGAGTAAGTCTACATGGTATGTATAATTTGTTTCTGAAGTAATAATAAAATGCACAAATACATAAATACATAAATAATCTATTTTATTAATTTTGTATTTTATATATTTATTTTATAGCTTCTATTTTGCTCTAATTATTGTATTTTGGTCATTTGTTATTTTGTATTTAATTAAATTTTGTGTATCACAACAAAACATTTTTGAAAAGGTTCTATATAATTATTATTATTATTATTATTATTATTATTAGATTATACATATTTTTACAACTCAAAATCCTGCTTTTTAAAATTAATATATTTTGTCATTTAAAACATTATTTATTAAGGAAAGTGTGTTAGGTCTTTATCTGTCAATCTAGACAAATAGAGCAGAGCCATTTATGTGATTGGCGGCTTCTTTGCTCTGCATGAGCAGACTATGTGTGTCTGGAACTCTGCCGGTATACATAAGGTCTGGAAAGATTTTGTGATGGCAGTATGAAAACATTTTAATTAATTAATTAATTAATAATTAATTGACAATGTTATGGTCATATTTTTTGTATGTGATTATTTATATGATTTTTAATTTGATGGCTTATTTATTTAACATTGAGTACTTTAGGTCTCCATATAGGCCCTGTTTCTGATTCAGCATTCAAGCAGAGAATGTTATTTAGGAAGTAGACACTACAGCTCACTTCCCACTCAGTGCTACA